TGGACGCAGTGTCTAGAGGAGTTCTTACAAGAACTGTGTAGAGGGGGAAAACCACTTCCCTGGGTCGCCTAGCTCTGTCACTACACCTACAGCCCATTGTGCATTTGGCCTCTTTACCAGAACACAGCGCAGGCTCAAGGTTACCCAAGAGCTTTAATTGCAGAGCTGCTCCCCAGACTGTAGATCTGCAGCACTGGTTTTTGTAACCAAAATATATCAGTGGAGAATAAAAAAAAAAAAAAAGGGGGGGAGGGGGGGGGGAAATGAGCTGTGGCTGGGGAAACAGGAGCCAGTGAGGCAGAGATGGGGGCAGGTGGGGGAGTCAGGGACAAATGGTCCCATTCTGATGATGCCACAGGAATAACCTCGGGCAAGCCGGAAAGAGCCGCCTGGGAGGTGGCTGGATGAGTGATGCTTCCCGAGATGGGGCAGGGACCTGGCACCACGTCGGGCTCTGGCACAGGGACACTGCCTGGAGGAGCAGATGGGGCCAAGGGGGACGTGGCTCCATCTCCCAGTCTCTGGTGCCGGTATCAGGAGGGGGAGTGGGGGTGATGGCAGAGCTGGAGCAGCCGTGGGCATCTTGTCTGGCAGCCAGGCAGGGAGCTTGGAGAGACAGCAGGAGTCCTGACACCTTTGGGAGGGTTTAGCACAGCTGTGGTGGAGGCAGAAAGCCCAGGTTGAGAAGGGGAGGTCACTGTTCTGCGTGGCTGCACCTCTGGCTGCTCATCCACCAGCCCTGCTGAGGTGGAAGCAGCTCTGCAGCCAAAGGGAGCACCAAGCTCTGCTGAAACCAGAGAAATCCACAGCCTGGGAGAAATCCACAACCTGGGATGGGGTAGGGACAGGCAAGGTGGGATGGGACCCCCCAGGGTCCTGCCCAAGTGCCACCTCCTTCCCCCTGCAGTAGCCCGAGTCAGCCCATCCCAGGGTGAGGGTGTTAAAATTCAGGCGCCGTCTGGGTTGCAGCAGTGGATGGGGAGAGGGAAGGGAGAGGGAGGCACAAAGGGACGAGGCACAAAAAGCCTTTGTCTGCTCCTGTGCTGAGTGGGCCCTTTTTGCTGCTGGTGGGGACAATCTGATGGTGGCTCAAGTGGGGAGTGGGGCTGCACCCCCCCGTGCTGGCACGTCCCACACGGGGCCTGGCTGCAGGTGGGGATGGGGGTCTCATCCCCGTGGGGACAGGTTCCCCTGTGGTGAGGGTCCACAAGGCATCACCCTTGCATGGCACCCACAGACCTGCTCCATCACACACCTGAGGGGCACCAGGGTTCAGGGGGCTCAGGGACACCACAGGTACCCCAAAACCACCAAGAAAACCACGATGCTCCAAACACCAGCACAGGAGAACCCAAAAAACCCATTACTAACCCCAAACAGGAGTGGGCAAACCTCCCCCACAAGCCCCCAAACCCTCTGTGCTCACACCCCAACCACTGACCCCATCACCAGATGGCCCCACGCTCCCATGGGGACCCCCACCCTCTCACCCTGGGGCCAGGAGCATCCCGGCACCCTGCCTGTCCCCATCTGCGCCCTCCATTGTGTCGGCCCCCGGCTCACTGGATTATTTTTAAGCTGACAGCTGAATGTGTCCTGCTGATTTTAACCGACACAGACAAGCCTCGGAGAGGGTAGGATTGGTGGAGACACTGACTCGCTGGGATATGGGGATGTGTCCCTGTGTCACGGGCACACCAGAGCCGTGGCCACAGCTCCTACCTGCCCGTGACACAGGGACACATCCCCAGTTGTTGTGTATCCATCAGTGGGCAAACCATGCCTCAGTTTCCCCTCTTCACACATCCTAACGTGGAGGGGTTTCTTGGCTACAAAGCCCCCAGTTTTGGGCGTGGGACATCCCCCACAACCCCCAGCAGTGAGGCTGACACCTGATCTGTCCCTTCAGGCATTTGTCCTCCATAGCCTGGACCCCAACCCCCCAGCCCTTCCTCCAGAGCAAGAGGGGACGAAGGGGGGGGGACACGTTGGTGCTCCAGAGCTGTCACAGCTCTGCTGAGGTGGGA